TAAATATAGGAGTAAAAAGCTAAGAAAAATAAATCAGCGATCAAAGTGCGAAATCGTGAGAAGTTTAAGGGCCACGAGTGCTTAAAAAGATTGGAAGAACCTTTGGTCTAAGAAGCACTTCCTCTGTTTGATGCCCATTATCATGAACCTGCACCATCATAAAAGTTCCAGGGATGAAGTGGTCAATCTACAAGAGGTTTAGGGAGAATTAGTGATGAAACCGTTATAATTATTCCGTCCAAAATTATTGCTACATGTTTTTAAATTTATGAGTAAATTGTCAAGGAAAAAAAATTTTAGGGACCAAAATGCTAAATCGTGAGAAGTTTAGGGGACGAAGTAAAAGAAGGTTATGAAAAACCTTAGATTTGTGAAGTTCTTCCTCTGTTAGATGCCCATTATCATAAACCTGCACCATCACAAAAAGTCATTGAAAAATGTTGGAAGTGAAATTACAAAATAAAAAAGAGAAAAAATTGAAGCAATTTTACCTTGACTGGTGGTGGTTGTAGGATTTCTGAACTAGTTTTCTGTTCCACAACTACTACAGGTTTGCTGCGGAGAAGTTCATTCTCTGATTCCAAATCTGCAACTTTACTCTTGAGGCTGTCCAAAGAAAATAATTCAGAATTGTGCTATGTAATCACCATTTTAGTATTGGAAAATTAGGTGGATGACCGGTTTTGGCCACCTCTTTTAATTAATGGCCGAACTTTTATTTGTTTTTGGTAAATGGTTGTTTTTTAATAATGGTTTAATTAGTGATATACCGATGGTTTGTTACTGATAATCCGGTAAATTATTAATTTGAAACTGGCTAATCTCTAATTGATATTGGTTAATCAGTTATAAACCACCAAGTTAACCAGTATAAACCACAACTTAGTACATGAGTAATTACCTATTTTTAAAAGCGGTGATTTACTGAATTTAACAAAACTAGCACTATTTACTAAAAAAATGCTTAGAAAAGGCCATATACTTTGTAATACATGCATAGTTTTGTCAAATGTCAATTTTGTTCATCATTTGCATCTTAACTTGAGTTTCTTAGAAGTCAAGTTATATGAACAGTACGTGTTCGTGTGTGCTCCATAAGTGATAAGTCAATTTGTGTACATTTATATTTCTCCATCAAAGAAAATCTATACTAATTTGTAGATTCTTACTTTGTCAACTCTTCTGAGAGGTCTTCATTGGTTGAAGCAACCAAAGCTTGTTGGCGAAGAACCTGATTTTCCGATTCGATGTTGGACAAGTTTAACTCCAATCTGATGAGGGTGGAAAAAAAAAGAAGGTAATTCAAGCATAATGTCTACTGAAAATGAATGTTTGTGACCAATTCCTTTTTCTAGAGTTCAC